GAATTGTTCGGTTTGTCTGAGAATGCAATCTCACAATTATACTTTATATTTATATAACTTTGGCCAATACAGCCGTCCACTAACTAAAACGCTAGTCGCGTATAACTGACAAATGGTCAAATAACCGTTTCAAATAGAAAAAGATAGAGCACAAAATTCTCTTTTAAAAACATTTGAAATTAGTTGACGTGTTTGACTTATCGAAACTTAGCCAAACGCAAAGGCATAGCTGAAATATCATAAAACAATGTCAATATTCTAAATCTGGGTTATGGTTTTTTATAATATCCCTAAACATTGTTTTGTCACTTAGCCGTTTTTTAGTTAGCGGAGGGCAGAATATTTCACTGGACAATATATAGTTGTATATTCATCACACACGCGAATTAACAAAATTAACATATGTCTTAAAGGTGTTAAACGAGTCGCATCGACCATGTATCCGTTAACTGCAATCCTATTGCAAAACCCTTGTCGTAGAAAAAAACCTTCATTTTTGCGAAGTATAGATGTATATGTTAATACAACTTAACTTTGTACATAATAACTCGATACAGAAGGTCCTTAAACTCACTATCGGGTGTAACAAACGGCAATCGATCAACTTCCAGCTTTCGCTCTATGATACTACAATAAATGACATAATATAAAATAATAGTAAATAATATTCAAAGCCCCATGTGCAGTCGGCTTGCCGTGTAGGCACAGAAAGCTTTGAACATTTATTATTTGAATGATGAGATGAGGTTTAAGCGCAGACAGATTGAAACGGTTTCGACACCTGCGCAGGCGTAATTATTTGAAGTTGTTCTTACTCGGACAAAAAGTTTTTGCACATACCGCTGGTTATGAAAGCAGTGGTAGGTACACAAACTTTTTACTTGCTTATTACATCCTATGCACAGAATAACTTCAGCATAAAGCAGTGAATAACGCGCGACAGATGTGAATAAACATTGAGCAATTGAAAATTCGGAAACCACAAACATTTCGGAACATTCAGTCATAAACAGCGGTGACTATCAAATTTTGATATTAGATTGTTAATGCATGAAGTTATAAATGCGGCTACAGCGTTCGACAATACTCGTGGTTCCCGAATTTTTCCAATGTCTAATGTTCAGTCCCTACACTGCTACCGTTAATTTGATTAAATATATTGTTGTACATTTGTTAAAGTACATAACAATTCCGTCGCTCGTTGTTTGCCACGTGAGTCGAAACTGCACCCGTGTGCCAGAAACCTTATGTTGAGTAATAGAAGAGCGTGCAAGTACCCGCAGCGTGGAGGCGAGAGGTTGAGCGGACGTCGCGCGACTGCACTTTTCTAGCACAACAGCAGTTAATACACTCCGAATAGCTACTCAATTGGCAATATTTTTCTTTTTTTAAATGGTCAACATAATAACGGTGGAAAAAATGTATCGGTCGGACGTCGGTTCTCCTTTTTTTGTCAACCAAAACTTGATTTTTGGGGAATATAATAACGTACATATCTTGAAAAATATCATATTTGTGGTCATGATGATACATTTCTTGAAACCATTTTTATATTTGCATCCCGTTGCATCTTCTTATTTAAAGGCTAAACACATCCAGAAACTTTAGAAACCGACAGTCGCATTTTGAGAAGATGCGTCGCGCGGCGCCTGACACGTAGTTGTAGTGCAAACGAAAGACTGGCTAATGTAACGAGATAGGGCATATGTTAGGCTGCCGTTGCGCTCTGTCTGTGGGATGCATTATTTAGTAACCATATAAAATAGAACAAGACATCGCAATACGATAATGGATTCAAATTTGACCCGTTATCTCACAACAATTTTAAAATTTTCCATTTTTGCACAACCCCAATGTCGTGCAACCCATACTATTTTGTAAAGTTTATCACAGACAAGTGTAACGAGCAATGTCGGGAGGCAGGTATTCTAGCTAGTAAAGTGGTGTGTGTAAATATTGCTTTTAGTCTATTGTACGTTTTTAATAGTTGTTATGGATCTTAATGTACCATGTAATTTTGTTCGCGGTGATTGACAAGTTTACGGAGAATTCCAGCTGTGGCGCGGTGCTGTTTCCATATAAACACCTCGCAAGATCGATCATCTTGTTTCCAGGTTTGGTGAGTGACGAATACCACTTTGATTCTGGACCTACATTTCTCGCCATATACACATAGACTCTAGTGCCGTGTTTCATAGCTAACAAAGCAATGCATTATCCAAAATTGTAATGAAGCCATTTGATACCATCATCTAACATCTTTTGGCTATCACCCACCGTGTTCACGAAAGTCAGTAATTTTGAAAGGCACGTATGATTGAAGAGTCTCTGTTAAGCTGTCAGTCACCACGGCAAACATATAACCATTTCGCGTTTATTGATTTATCCTGTATCAATAAAGGTTTAAGTTTCAGTTATGTATTTTTTATTTTGTCGCTTTCATTGTGTCATTGAGAAAGAAATAAAGTAATTTTATATTTTTGTTCGATTAAATTGTGTAACGTCATCGCTGGGACGACTTTTTTTCCAACTTGGCATGTAAATATTAAGTAGGAAAAAAAATTACTGCAGAGTCGTGCGAGATTTAAAAGGTAATTACGAAAAGAATTGTGTGAAGTTGAAAAAACAGTTTTATGTGATTGTTACAGGGTTTTATTTCAGCAGCTGTCCGATACCCAGCACAATATCAAGTTCATGTAAAATTTAATTCTTAGTGTCACGTTATCATAATTCGCAACAAACTTTTTGTTTTTCTATGCGTTCATATGTTATGTATACGAAACCGCCATCTAAATTTGTTCCTTCGTCTTTTATAATTTATTTATTTTTTTAAATGGACACATCTTGATTATTATACTTTACCATATTTTGTAAATACTTATGAATCCGTGTTCTGGTTTTTTTTGTCCAAAGAGGTATGTGTTCATTTGTGGAAATTGTCTTCTTTTATTTTAATTGTTCTTTTATGAATTGAGATTGTAAAATAATTTATTTATTGCATCCAGAAGTGCATTTTTCACCGGGAGTTTTCCTGCAGTAGCGAGGCGTTAAGAGTTTAGTGTATGTATTATAGTGTGACTATGCTCAAAGTGTAACCTGTTGCAAGTGATCGAACGATCGAGTGATGTTTGCATACTATTCTTAAATGAAAATGTCAATAAAATGTATTTTAAAAAGTTGTTTATGTTTTAATTCTCTAAGCACATAGAAACTCCTTCCCAAAGAGCTTTGTTGCAAGGCACTGTCACGCGGACCACGTGAATTTTATTGTAGAAATAAAGAGACAGTTCTCGCTCGGAAACCCATCTGATTTCGAGACTCTGATGGGCTACCCGATCGGATCGATGGGATAGCCCATCAGAGGCCCTGCCCTGCAAGGACCAATGCGTGGCAGTCCAGTGACGTCCCTCCTTAAATTAATTACAGGTTAGACTAACCCCAAAAGGGCCTGTAATTTCTAGAAATACTATGCTTAATAAGCAGTTCAGTTGCATGATTTAACTGATCACAATTTTATGTGAAGTCGAGAACTCGCTTCGGAAATTTAGTGGAGAGTGGCGATGGGAAGAAGAAAAGTAAGTGACGTAGTAGAAAAAGGAATTTAAGAACGATTCAAAATTTTAAAGTAAGTGGTGGAACCAGAGAAAAGGGTGATAAATGACGAGGATCGTCGTCACAGTGAAGTGACAAAATCATTTTTTTACACTTACTAAAATTCGATTAAATTTGCCTACAGGTTGTATTTCATATTGGTTGGTAATTAACACATATTATTTCTGTATCTGAATTAAGATAGGACAGTATCTTCTACTTTCCTCACATTTATTTATGCTTGTGCGCTTTAGTATCCTATAGACACGACAGAAAGTTATTCAGGTTATTTCATGGCTTTTCTAGCATACTCCATGTTTCTTGATAATAAAAAAAAATCATAACGCCATTTTTAATACAAGAACTACAAAAGGCGACAAACATTTAGTTAATCGGGGATTATTATGGTGAATAGTCTCAAGTAAAGGTCAATACAAAGTAAAACACAGAATTATTTATAAAAATAAACCGTTTTTATTGTATGAATATCACACGTCACATTCACTCGCTCGCATTCATATATCAATATAGATTTTTGGTCACCGTTACATGTGATGGAAAAAACAATATGCGATACAATCGCCTGCAGAAACACCTCGCATCAGTCTATTATGAAAACTAAAACATAACACATTTTCTAGTCTTGACAACAACCGTCGTGTTTGATGAAAATGTTACATTAAATAGTTCTTCGGTAAAGAAATAAATACCTACATGTAGACGAATTATAAACATTTAAATAATAATGCAATAAATATATAGTAAATTTTATAATTGACGTACGAGGTTTTTTTGTAAAATGCTATAACAACCACGCAGGACTATATTGCTAACATCGTACAGTCAAGAGCAGATCAAGCTTGACATTTTAGGGTGCGTTCCCACTATGTCGTGATGACAGATTGTCGTGCAGTTTACAGTGTCGTGGCTTGTATATTTAAATGAAGTTGTTCATATATAGCACGACACGATTAATTGTCGTTCACGATTTTTTATCGTTACAACGACAAACAGGCTAGACACGACAGTCGTCCAAAGATAATAAAACGTGACGACATAATGGGAACGCGCCCTTAGACTTTGAACCGTTGTTATTGCAAGCGACATAGACTTAAATTTAAACCTTTGCCGTCTCTTGACCCTGCACAACTTTTGTTCCATGACTTTTTACAAAACAATAAATTTACCAAAAATAAACGTTTTTAAGTTTTTGTCGCACTATCTGACTTTTTCTATCTGTATTATTGGTAGTCTGCTGTCTCTCTGCTTCTACGATTTACATCGGACTGACATTGACGCTGGCGCATTGTTTTGTTACCGAACAGCGCTATTTTTTATTTTTGTACGAAAGTAATTAATCCGATGAATTATTAAAAGTCATGGAACAAAAGTTAATACAGTCCTCCGAGGTTGTTAGTAGTATTTTACATAGCACAAGTAATGTTCCATAAAATAAAACACTCTTACCTATAATGTAAACTCGAGACAGCAGTTTGTAATAAATTAAACAAACAGACATGGAATATACAAAGCTAGTATTTTTAGGTAAACGAGAGAAAGATTGGATATCATTCGTGAACCACCTTTTCAACATTTTGAAAGTACGGTGATGCACTTTAATTGTTCTCGTGCACATTTTGCTACAAAGAAATGTATCTCTAATTTACGCGACCCTATTATATTCTACTATAAAGCCCAAACACTGGTTTACGCTGCACAGAAGTGGCTAAACCTGATAATCCGCTATAATGGCTGTAACCTGCAACTACAAATATATTCTTAATTCATTGGACCCTCACTGACAGTGTTTTAGCCAAAGATCGTATATTTCAATCTATTCACTCGCCATCCTTTTTGTATTAATTTATTTAGGATATTCCACATAGAAGACTAATATAATTAGAATAAAGTAATACTAGTAAATAATGTGTAGAGCATAAAATAGTGAAACCTTCAACATTAAAAACTAAGTACTTCTACATTTAAGGACCATCACAACGTGAAATAGCAACAATACGAGAAAAACATATGTATAAAAATTATAATGAATTATTACTTATGAAGATTTATAACATTTGGTTTCATTTATAATCGTAAGAGATAGTCGAATCTCTCAATAAGTGATTCACGTTAAGTTGGAACGAATTAATTATAATATCCTATCTCGGAAAGGATTTTCACATTAACTAATTTCAAGATTAAAACAACTCGACGGTTCAGCGGACAGTTTACCGCGACAGCCAGACACGCACTGTCACTCGAGCTTTTCCCTACCACATTACACCTATGAATACACCGATCCCAGGTATAACAGTATCGTCGTAACTGGTTAAGTCCTCCTTTAGTATTCCTAGTTCTTCTGCGGAAATAACAGCTGTCTTTACGCCCGGCGTCGTAGCATCGACTTATTGAAGAGATATGATATATTTGGGATGACCTGAACGATACAAATTCCGTTCAATGAAATTGACATTGAAACAGGTCGAGTTGTTGTACCTATTAACGGCCATACTGAATCCCAGACACTATAGCTACCCGTGACATAACTGAAAAAAATAAATTGAAAATTTTTCACCATGGGCTCAAACCGATCTGCGAGGATCTAGGTTTTGCCGCGCCGGATCGAGCAACGCAAATGCATTTGGGTCATTATTTACACATTCCCTGCCGTCCTCATAAATTCAACCCGATCACCGGTGGTACGTTCGAGAACGATTGTGCGTTCGTCAGTCTCCGTTCTTGGATCTCTTTCTCTTCTTCTTCCGGTACGTAGTAATGTAACTCGTAAGCTGGTGACAACTCAATGGTCTTATCACAATTGGGATCAAACCTCTTCGAAGCAAAGTCATCTTGTTTCGTGTACTTGTCCTCGTAGAGCCTCTTCATAAACGCGTTGGACGAAGCGATAGCGCCCTTGCGCTGATCCGGCAATTTGCTGTGAACTACGCTCGTGTTGTACAATATGGGAAAATTGACCTTGAACCGCTCGCTGTGTTGGTTAAAGTTCTCTACGAATCTGTCTAGAACGTCCTTCCGGAACTGTGTCTCGTAATCGTAGTATTCGGGGGGTGGTTTCACTTTAACACTTTTGCGACCTTCGTTAGCCGCCGTCACCCCAACGTAAGGGTTCTCTGTTACGTAAATATCGTCATCCTTTGTGACATCATTTATAAAGTCCTTTAGATGTTTGATGAGATATGATGGTCGGTGGTAGCCGTCCGTACGAACTTTCTCTAAATAACTGTTTTGGTCGAAATTAGTCGTTGGGTGCGTCACGTATCTATTTTTATCGACATCCCCCTTGTTCTGCCATATATTTTTTGAAGCATGTTGTGGAGTCCTGTTCCAAGGAACGTATGTCGGGGGAGCAGTAATCGGTGGTATGTCATGTGTTTGTGGTTTATTAAACGTGTATTCGTTAAGTTTGCGTCCGAAACTATCGTCATATTCATTAACTATGACTTTGGAACGCTCTCGCGGTGGAAAATATTGAATTGTAGGTTTTCTCTCAGGTGAGTACTGACTAACTGTTGTTTGAAGCTCTACAGTCGGTTGCGTGGTTGTTTTAGAGCTAGCCTTTGGAGTTACATAATTATTCTTTGTTTTAAACTTCTTTAAATCGATGTCATGAGCGTAGTCCACTTCATCCTCCTCAGAATCGTACTGTTCCATGTTTTTTTGTTGTTTGGTTCTAGTTTTAAATGTATCTACGGGGTGAAACTCTCTCAAGTTTATTTTATTTATCTCAAGTGGCTCTGTAACAAAATTTTCTGGACCTGGAGTAGTGAGTTCCGTAAAGCGCGACATTATATCGTCAAACACATTTTTATGCGTGGTTGTACGTTCACTAGATGTATTCTCCTCGTAATCAGTGTAGTAGGTATTACCAAAGAAGTCCGTCTTCTTCTTTTTCGATTTCCTTTGCTCAGCAATTTTCTCGAGTCTGGTCCTCAATTCAGGTGATTGTTCTGCACTCTTAGTCTCTGAGAAAGAATTCAGCTGCATCTCTGTTTTGTTTTTAAGTACCTGAGTAAACGCTTTAGAAGAATTTTTAGCTTTGAAAACGATACCCAAAGTACTGAGACTCTCGTTTCTCCAGCTGTTATCATCGGGGTTTCTCAAAAATGATTTTGGCGGTAGGACGTCTATTTTTTTGAGAGGCTTATAGTTGGAGTTTACAGTGTATATGGTGCTAATATTTTTCTTCTCAAAAGAAATTGGTTTGACACTGAGTTTGTCATCGATTGAAGTATCCTCTACTTGATTAATTTTTGACGTTTCTGTCGAAAATGTCTCGTTATTATTAAGCGCCTTTACTTGAAACCGCTCATCGCGGTACCTTTTCGTGTATTCAACATTGTCAGTAAGAATTTTCTCTTTCATCAATTCTTCGTTGATCGCGTCCTCGGCCTGAAATAAGTTATAAATTAAGTACAATATGAAATGTTTATTCAATATATTTATACATATATTATTTATATATTATATATATATATATCACATCAAGTGAAGGGACGACAAAGTCGTACGCCTGATTGTAAGCTACACGCCTGTCCGTAACAGTTACAGTGCCACTCAGAGCTTTAAAGATCTGAGGGGCACTACCACTGCGCCCATCACCCTGAGACATAAGTTGACAAGTCCCATGTGCCTGTAATTTCACCAGCACCCTTACCTTTCAAAACCGGAACACACATTTGACTGACATTACTGCTCGGCAGCAGAAATAGGTACGGGGGCAGTACCACCCTGGACGAAATCTTTCACAAAAAGCTATACTGCTACTAAATAAGCTGTAGAAGCTGCGTAATAAGTTAAGAAGCATAATTATAAATTACGCATAGCTTCTACAGGTATCAACTTCTGAATACTTACTTATCAGTACACAATTATCTTACCAATTGACTTTGCGATTCAAGTTCTATCGCGCCTTGAGTTATATTCATTTGATTAAGGCTTTCCGAAGTTGTTTCTTGGTTACTGAGTGATGAACCAATCTCCAATAAAGGTGCTGCTGACTCTGGTGTCGTTATATCTGCCAACGAAGGTACTTTGCTTAAAAATTCTGTAAAGCCGATCCTAGTAGACATTTCTTCACTCAGATTTAGAACACTAGCTTCCGTAACAGTAGTTGAATATTTTTCTTCAAATGTTGTCGTTTGGGGCTCTTCTGTAAATCTTGAGGAATAATCGATAAAGCCAGCACGCAGAGACGAAACTACATCAAGTTTAGGTAAGATACTAGACGTTTCTGTAATATCTGCTTGAGTTGTGTCTACTGGTGATAAAGTAATAATAGGGTCAGTTCCGGGTGATGCGGGCATTTCAGGCGGCAACTCACTTGTCGATTTTAACAATTCATGGGTCAATTTGTCTGAAGAACCTGTCTTAAATGTACTGAAACTCTTTTGTAGGCTGGGGAAAATTGTAGGTGAAGTTTGTACACTTTCTGCATGAACTAGCGTCTCTGAGTTATTTGTGCTGTTCGCAGCTTGTTCCGTAGAATTAAATCGTTTTCTTTCAATTTCCGTGTACTTTTTCCAGTAAGGAATTAACGATTGTGTACTGTAATCTTTGATGAATTGTGTGTCTTCTTTTCCAGCATTGTTTTGTTCCGTCGTAGTCTCTTGCTCAGTATTAAGTTCTAAAGCCTTATGTACCACATTGTCTAAAACTGATTTAAGACTAGAAACGGTGCTGCTCTCTTGATGAGTATAATCATCAACTTCCTTTGACGTTATGTCAGGTTCACTTGTAGTCATAGTTTCAGTCACGATCGTTTCCGTTGAATAACTATCGTTATCCAATACTATCGTGATGGTCTCATACTTTTGTGTGCTATTTTCCTCATTCGAAATATTACTACTAGCGTAATTTGTAGTCTTATTCATTTGTGTATAATTTTCACTACTCTTAGTACCATTATCTTCAATGACAGGAACAGTTACTGATGGCTCACTGGAATTCGGTGGTTCACTCGATACTATCGTACTACTTATAGTCGACAAGACACTATTTTTTAAAGTATTATTGATGCTAGTCGTACCCTCTGCAGCCGCAGTCTTTCTCTCTGTGATAATTAATGACTCTCTATCATCGCGTTCCGTTTCTACTTTAGCTTCCGCACTGCTTGACGAGGCGTCGTCTAATGTGGAATTAGAAGATAATGTGGTAACTGTTATGTTATTAGTTCTTACATTCAATATTTTTTCAGTGGCTTTAGCCACTGGTATATCTGTAATATTGTTCCTTGTTTTTATTTTCTCTGTTACTTTGTTATGTTCCACTTCAATATTTGAAACTATTTGTTCAATGTTTTTACTTTCTAGAGATTTAACATTGTTATCTTTGTTAACATTGGAGATATCTATAACTTTGAAAGATTCCTCTTTCTGATTGGAATTCGCTTCAGGAACTATGAGGTCTGGTTGGAATGTCGACTCAACTACCCGCCGGATAGTGAACGCATCAACATGTGACTCAACCACTAGCTTGACTAATAACAGTATTTTAAACGACCTGAAAACAGAGAAATAGTCGTTAGACTCGTTGTAAATACACAAAAAGTAATGTAAGTACCTATATTACTGACAATATTACCCTAAAAAGCGCATTTTAAAGTGAGTGTATACGTGAATGGTTGGTGTTGAAATGTCCATATAAGAGTCTTGTCGGTCGAAGTCATCTTGAAACGTCAGCGGCAACGGACGCATATACAATGGGCTGTTTTTAAACAAAATGAGTATGTGAGGAGTACACATACAAGGACTTTATTATGTTTTACATATATATTGTCTGACTTGTTTACAAAACTATAAAGAATTACACAATTGTATTTCAAAGTGTTTTGGGTAGTTCGTCGAAGTACTTTGACTATAGGTACCTACATAAAATTGTTTTAATAGCCGCGCTCATTTTGATAGGGTACTGATCATAGATATACTAATTATTACTAAATCTATGGTATACTGATAATGAAGGAATGATGACCGCTATTGAAACGCGTTAAGTTATCGCTTTTAATCATTTGTGATAGTCCTCGGAAACGGAAATTAGACATTTTTAGCCAAATCCGATCCTTAAATGGACGTAATTGATCGAAATTCGTTTAAATCTAACAAAGATACCAACAAAGCAATTCAACAACACTAACGAAATGCGCGTGCGCGTGCTCATCATGACTTATTGCAGTTGTTTTTTATACATTTGACGCAAAACTAGATCAACACATGTGTAAATAAGGAGTAAATATTATTGATAGATCAATAACCTGTACAATGCGCTCGCTAATTAAAATAAAAATGATGTGCTATTCAGTGAGCGTTGTTGACATTCTTGAAATATACCTACATAAAGGGGCGTTGTAAACGCTATTACCTACACAATCACGACTACCTACGGTACTACCTACTTACCTATATTAATACGTAACATAGGTACTTAACCATTTCGTAATAAAGCAGTATAATTCCTATACAATGTAAATTTAAATTATTCACATAATCTAGTTTCAGTTAGTCCCACGGGACGGGGACGTTAAAACATCCGCCGCGTCTTTTTATAAACACTTTTACCCATAAGCACTATTATTGTAATTGAAAATGATCGTAACTTAAATAATGGTGGTAAAGTACAAGCAGCATACCTCACGTACTCCATAATTTCTCAAACTGCACTGTAGTTTACATTGAAGGCGCTTCAACAATAAATGATATTACTCATTTATTGAAATTTTATACATACACGATAAAGAGAAATATTGAATCAGATGTGCTTGTTATAATAATTTTTCTCGTAAGGAATATGTCATAGTTCCCTGTATAAATGAGGTACTTTCTGCGTAGAGCCCATTGCTACGTACGGATGCACTCAAAGGTTGGAAAATTCACATGTTTTCCAAGGGTTTTAAAACCTTCCACTTGGTCACGATATTTTTCTTCTCCGTTAGGAAGAATTATTGCTACTCAACACTGACAAATGTGTGTACGTTCCTAACTTAGAAAATAAAATCATAGGTGTCACTACAGGGGGTCACTCAGCTGCCAAATAATTGTTGTACTTGATTGTAACTTGAGCGTCTTCCGTGTTTTCCTTCAGTCCATAATCTCTCCTTATAGTCGGCGTCAATGTACTTAGTCGATGATATGAAAAAGATACCTTTCCACAAGAAAACAAGTGCAGTTATTTAAAGGTTTTCTCATTACCTTCTATTTGTAAAGTTTTTAACAGTTATTCATAGAAAGATTTTGCAAGTTTGCAAAATAGTTGTATACCTAAGTTTATACGACCCTATGAAGGCTCCTAATGGCTAAATTAATTCGGTGGAATCTTTATTAGGTATGCGTGAATAAATAATTGTTATTCATGACTTGTTATATAATTAAATGTGAGGAAATAAACTTTTTTGCATTTATACTGGTTCTTCTGCGCCTTGAGCTCGTCCAGGGTTTGTCCAATAATCTTACCTATTCCTGCTGCCAAGCAGTAGTGTGGGCATTATTGTGTTTCGATTTTGAAAGGCAAGGGTGCTGGTGACATTAGAAGCACATGGGACTTGTCAACTCATGTTTCAGGGTGACGGGCGCAGTGGCACTGCCCCTCAGATCTTTGCGGTTTAAAGCGCTGAGATAATATGTTTATCTTGATGTCCAAGGTATTAAAAAGTCAAACAAAAAAGACATCTGACTTAAGTTATCAATCATTCATTATAATCAGTCCTTACTTGTCTATTAAATATACTAAACCATTCATAATAATAATAATAATGTATCAAACGTCCACGCCAATTGGCGTAGTCTCAAACTTGGGAACTCCCTGTACTACGAGTACCAAAGCAATGGAATTCACTCCGGGGCGTCCAGATCAGAACCAATTTAGAAAAGTTCATTTCCCAAATTGGTCCTACCGGGAGTTGAATCCGGGACCACTGCATCCAGCGCCCACAGTGCAAACCGTTAGGCCACAGAAGTCGTCGTTTATTTAATATATTTGCCAAAATTTTTTTTAAAAGCTCAGTGGGAGAACGATTGATCTCGTTTGACAATTTGACACGACGGTTCGAATCCCTGTGGTGTCATGAACCTATGACTAATTTCTAAGTTACATACATTTGTTTGTGAATGTTTAGTCTCAACACCTCTCGCTAACTGTGAAGGACAACATCACGATGAAACCGGCATGAACAAAGTGCCTAATGTGCATTGCGCTTAAAGCCATCTTAGAGGAGACCCGTGCTCCGCAGTGGGATGTGTAACAGGTTGACGATCATGATGGTGGGATGAGATTTTTATTTAATTTTCGAAAGAGGGCCATTACTCACAGTTTTACAACAAACCTCATTAAATTCTCGCTTGCTCTAAATACTTACATAAATAATAATAATATGTTGTAAACAGGATTTCTTAATGATATACTCTTTTCACACTTATTTGACGTGACCCAAATTTATGCGAAGCTAATTGTTTTGATTTATGCCTTTTGTTACGATGGTATACTTCAAAAGTTGGAGCGAAAAATTAAAAAATTGGTTCAAAAATAAAACGAATGGTTGGTAAAACGATTTCAAATGTAGTCACTGCCTACCCCGGCGGAAGGCGTGAAGTGTACGTATGTATTTACAAATATACCTATACTTTTTTATTTTTCATTCAAAGTTTATTTACACGAATTGACAGCGACGTGTGACGCAACGTGGGTGTCCGGTAAACGGCCTCGGAAACGGCCTAAGGCCGAGTGTGCATAATACGTAGTGATTCAGACCCGGACAATGTTATTCCTATGATCACGAAAACGTCCAGTATGCATTATAATAATAATGTCATATTTAAAGTAAGCTAATTTAAAAAATCCCGTTGCGTTTTTCATAGAAAACTGAGGACATACTTGCTTGGGCCAGGGATCTACTCCCGGAGAGTCTCCACATAACCCCTGGGTCTCCCCGGTCTCAGGGGTACCTATAAAGATTTCGACCCCGTAAAAATAATGGTCAAGTATGAACCTTCATTCGCACCATGCGTCTTTAAATTTTGTCGATTATTACTTATTTGATAGGAACCCCCGTTCACACGGCATTGCACTGCACGTTTAGTATTCGATGTGCGTTTGTATGTGTGTGCGTTTTTTTGCAGAACAAACACCGTGTGAACGGTTCTATAATCTAATGTATGCGCCACTGTTTGTTCAGCTCGGATTTATACTGCAAAAAAATATGCAATGCAATGCCGTGTGAACGGGGGTAACTGTTTCGGACAGAGAACGGCAGTAAATTTGAAAAGCGCGTAACTCCGTTTTTGAACGAAATCACTTTTTTGCTCTTCAAGCGCCATGTCGGGCAACTGAAGCTTGAAATATAATTTGTAGACCATTTTTAAGTTATAAAATAAAGGCATAATCATAGATTGTTATATAATTATTTCTAATAGGTACTTAACTCTGTTTTTTGTCTACTCGAGTTATAAATTTAGACGAATTGGGTATATTTAGTACATTTTAATGCACATTTGGCGTTTAGCCTTTTTGCCCATTGTAGTTTTAGTTTTAGTAGACCTTGTTAATAAAGCAGTCTTCTTGGGAGTGACCTTAGATAGTAAACTTCAATGGTTTCCACATATATCTTCCCTGGCCAGCAGATTAAGCTCCGCTGCATACGCAGTCCGCACACGTACGTGAGCTTACCGATGTTAGCACTGCTAAACTAGTTTACTTTAGTTACTTCTATAGTATAATGTCCTACGGGATTCTGATGTGGGGTAAAGCGGCAGATATTCAAACCATATTTGTATTGCAAAAACGAGCGATTCGTTCTGTGTACCGTCTAGGCTCTCGGGTATCTCTCAGAGAAAAGTTTAAGGAGACTGGTAGCATGACTGTGGCATCACAGTACATTTACTCAAATATTTTATATGCCCGTAAAAATATACATAATTTCAATAAGAAAGAAGATATCCATAATATTAACCTTAGAGCTAAGTCCAAACTCATGGTACCACGATTTCATTTAACTAAGGTAAACGACTCTTTTATGGGGAACTGTATACGTTTTTACAATAAGATTCCGGAGCATGTATTAAGTTTATCATTTCCTAAGTTTAAAAACTACATTAAAAATATTTTGATCGAAAAGTCATATTGCAAAATTGAAGACTACGTGTTAGATAAAGATGTATGGAAAGACGACATGGCTCCAGAATCCACACAAATTTGATTCAAGGTGTATTCCATAGCATTTAAGTTTATTTGAAAAAAGCAATCCCTAGAGTTTTTTGCTCGTTCTTCTCAGGGAAGTCAGCGTAGTGAACGGGCAGGTTAGCGAGTTTTAGGTCTTAGGAGTATAGGACCTTTTAGGACTGTGTACTCCGAAATGCCAATAGATGGCGTGGTTATCGAAATTCAACACGCAAGCGTTTTGTTAACTTCAAACTCACATCTAATGGACATGTTTTTTGTAATAGTTACTCTTGAATACAAGTTTGTCGTACATCGGTTGTTTCTTATTGAGGACCCTTTCTTGGCAATTAACA